CACACGTACGGACATCTGGTCCGCCTTCAAGGCGGCGATCTCGCGTGGTGTCATACTCGTCAACTGCACCCAATGCGCACACGGCACCGTCACAGACTCGTACAAGTGCGTGCTTGTGTTTGCTCATGTGTGCTTGTGCTTGTGTTTGCACGTGTGTGCGGGTGTGCGGGTGTGCAGGTGTGCGGGTGTGCGGGTGTGCGGGTGTGCGGGTGTGCGGGTGTGCGTGTTTCGACTCTGCCGTTTCTCCCCGCTCAGTGGCTCATCATCATCGCCCACCGCCACCACCACCACCATGCCAGGGCGGGTCGAGTGCTGAGTGCGGCGGGTATCATTCCAGGTGCGGATATGACACCGGAGTGCGCCCTCACAAAACTGAGCTACGTCCTCAGCATGGTGAGCACGCACACACACACACACACACACACACACATACACACATGTGTGTTTTGGGAAGGAGGATGGAGTTGTGTCTCTGCTCCTGCTGTCGGTTTTCCTCACACATACGCACACGTACACTTGCACACCGATGCGTACACACACCAACGAACATGCAGACGGACAAGACGTATGCGGAGAAGTGTGCGATTATGCGGCAAAATCTGCGCGGAGAGTTGACGACAGATCCGGAGGAAGTGGAGGAGTCCAAGTAAGGCAGTGCCGCCACTGTCATATCATTAGATGTCGTGTGTATGTGCGCGCGCGTGTGTATGTGTGTTTGTGTGTGTTTGTGTGTGTTTGTTTGTGTGTGTGTGTGTGTGTGTGTGTGTGTGTGTGTGTGTGTGTGTGTGTGTGTGTGTGTGTGTGTGTGTGTGTGCGTTGTCACCTTGATTGCCCATTCTTGGTTCGCAAGGTCGCCAATTCATTGCATCTATCGACCACACTATCCAATTCACCGCTCGCCATCCGTCCGTCCGTCCAATCAGGCTTGATCCGATGCTGGCACAGCTCCATCCAGACATTCACCCGACGCTGCTCTGCGTCGCCGCTTCAGAGGGCAACATCGAACGCCTCCAGAAATTGCTGGTGTGTGTGTGTGTGTGTGTGATTCGTGCGTGCTCTTGCCGTATTTGCATGCTGTATCGTCATGTTTGTACCTCTACCTCAACCCTCACAGCAAGCCACACCATTCACCCTCTCCCCTCCCTCACACACACACACACAAACAGGACGGCGGGTTATCGCTGCTGCTGTACGATTACGACATGCGCACACCACTGCATCTCGCGTGTGCTGAGGGCCACATCGACACCGTCCGCTTTCTGCTGCGTCACGGCGCCTCCGTGCACGCCGTCGACAGGTGCGATGTCGTCGTGTTGCTGTAGTTGTTGTTGATGTGCTGTGCTTTGTTGTGCACATGTTGTTTGTGGTGTGACAGTGTGTTGCCGTGTGTTGTGTCGTGCTGTCCCGTGTATGTTGGGTTGGATCATCGCTCAACGCCAACGTGTTTTCATGCACACACACACACACACACACACACACACACACACACACACACACACACACACACAAACACACAAACACATGGCTGCAGGTTTGGGCGAACACCGCTGATGGATGCGATTCTAAATACGCAATTGGACGTCATTGAACTTCTCGTCTGCACTGGCGCTACGCTCCGTACGTATCATGACGCAATGGCATGGGATGACGATGAAGAGGGGGGGGGGGGTTGGAGGGGGAATGTCACCATCTCATGGTGTTTTTCCTTGCAAACGTGCCTCTTCGCTTACTTGCTTGCTTGCACTCAACTCCTCCCCTCTGCCTCTCTTTAATCCCATTCCTCAACTCATTGTCCCCAACGTCGTTCTTTGTCCATTCGTTGCTGCCAGAAATGTCCGATGTGGAAGTTGGATCCGTCCTGTGCCGGCTCACCAGCCAGGTACGCACACGCGTTGATGTACACATACATGTGTGTGTGTGCATGTGTGTGTGTGTCGCCGTGTTACGTAACCAATGCTCATTCACACAAGCTCCAACTTGCCAGGGCATTCAACTCCCCACATCACATGTTCACCACCACCAACCCCTCATGTCCAACCCCCGCCACTCCCCATCTACAGGAGAAGTTCCCTGAGATTACGGCGTGGATTGCAGCGCGCGCGGACTGCAACTGCAAAGACTACAACGGCCAGACGGCCCTGCACGTCGCTGCAAAGCTCGGATTCGGGGTGAGCTTGCATTGGTGGTGGAAAGGAGGAGCGTTAGTGTGTGTGTGTGTGTGTGGTGCGTGCGTGCGTGTGTGTGTGTGTGCGTGTGTGTGTGCATGTGTATGTGTGTGTGTGTGTGCGTGCGTGTGTGTGTGTGTGTGCGTGTGTGCGTGTGTGTGTGTGTGTGTGTGTGTGTGTGTGTGCGTGCGTGCGTGCATCGTTTACTTCGCGCTCACCCGCCCCCCCCCCCATTCCTCTCACCACCATCACCACCACCACCACTATGACACCACCACGACCACCATGACATCACCATCAGCGCATTGCGGAACTGCTTGTGACGAACGGCGGCGCTGATCCGAACATCCCCGACGAGGAGGGGCGCACTCCGCTCACGGTCCGTTGGCCATCCAGTGGATATGGGAAGAGGGAAGGGGAGGGGAGGGGAGTTTGAGAAGAGATGTGGTGTCTTGGATGGAACAATGTTGGTTTGGTTTGGTGTTGGAGTTGGCTGGTTGGTGTGCTGCTATGCGTCAAGTCAGCGAGCAAATGGTGGAACAGGAGGAGGCTCAGGGGTCTGTCTTCGTTCTCTTTATTGCTGTCGTTGCTCAGCAGCCTGCAACCGTCTTTGCTTTGTCCTCATCATCATCATCATCATCGTCATCACACACACACACACACACACACAGTTGGCGATTGCGTATGATCGCTTTGACATTACGGAGTTTCTGATGCGGCAGGAGCAGCTGCAAGATGACATCTTTGTTGTGTAGACAGCACTTGCCCGAGCCGATGATGTGACAAGCACCACGCCAGTGGATGCTGTAATGTGACGCTCGCAACATGCTCACAAAGTGCTCGCAACAGCGCACATTTCATGTGGTGATGGCCCCACATCACATCACGAATCACAATTGCATCGCTGGTAGGACTGTCGTTGTCGTTGTTGTCGTCATTGTCGTTGTTGTTGTTGTTGTCGTTGTTGTCGTTGTTCCTTGCAATGTGCTGCCATTCAATGTGTTGACGCATGATGGCTCCGCACATATCACCCACTCAATCGTACGTCCAGGTGCCAACACTTGGTTTCTATCTCTTCTCTGCTCGTGCCTCTCATTAGCCTTGGTCGTTTCGCGCCGGTTCATTTCATGCGTTCCACTGCCCCTAGCTGTGCTGTTTCCTGGCATTGTTTCTTCAAGCATGTGCAATGATGACGCTGTTTGTCCTTGCGTCATGTTGAGGCTCATCACGGCCTCACACCTCGCTCATCTTCTTAGGTCTGGTTGTTTCGCTCTCAGTCAAGTTTGGTAGCTCTCATTCATATGTATGTGTAGGTGCTTGTATGTGTAGGTGCACACGTGCGAGTGCATGAATGCGTGCGAAAGCGCAAAAAGTGCATGGTACGTGTGTATGTGTGTGCGTGTGTGTGTGTGTGTGTGTGTGTGTGTGTGTGTGTGTGTGTGTGTGTGTGTGTGTGCAACCGTGCATCGTGCACTTGTGGATCTGTTGTGGTATTGTTGTCTTCGTACACCTGAGAGCAACGCCCTTTCTGGTATCCAGACCGCAATAAACATCAAAACGTTGCTCGCCACATGTGTGTGTGTGCGTGTAACTTACAGCGTGCTTGCTCAGCGTGCAAAACATGGGGTCTGTTTATTGCTTGCCTGTGAATCTGTTGGCACTCAAACATGCGCGGGTACACACTCCATGAAGACGGAAAGAAGAGCGGAAAACGAAAAGAAAAGGACAGAAAAGAAAAGAGAGGGAAAGTCAACACGTAAAGTTGCATGTCATGTCATGTCATGTGACATGTAACATCATTCTCAATCACGCCAGCACCGCTAAAATGACGACTATGGCCAGCACCGATCACCACGACGACCACGACCACCGCCACCATGAGTGAGCGGGCTTGTTAGTAGTCTTGTTAGTGCTGCGGGAGGTAGAGCCTGCGCGTGAGAACTGAGGAGACAACAGCGGACACGACAGCAACGGCGCTACCAAGCAGAACGAGCGACGACACACTCGCACATCCACACGACGACGACGACGACGACGATGATGATGATGCTGATGATGATGATGATGATGACGTTGGCGTTGATGATGCTGCTGCTGTGCCAGCACCAGCGAGGGAGCCGAACGGCTTGGTGGACGCAACTGCACGTGGATGTTGACGAAGGTGGGGGGGGGCAGATGATGAAGGCGAAAAACGCGAACGAACAGATGCAGGCGGGCAGCAAAACACACACACACACACACACACACACACACACAGACGCACACACACACACACACACACACACACACACACACACACACACACACACACACACACACACACACACACACACACACACACACACACACACACACACACACACACACACACACACGCACACACACACGCGCACCTGTTCGCGTTATTGACGGTCGCTTTGATGTCTGAGACGCCGCGTGCACCATCGTCCTCAACTCGCCGTCCATCTCGCTCTCACCATCACCAGCACCATCACCATCACCAGCACCACCGTCAACGCGTGCAGCTGTTGTCATCTTCTTCTTCGCTTCGCGTCCACATCGCTCCAATCCTCCATCCTCCAGCATGTACGCCGGAAGAAAGGACCCGTCGTCCAGCCGCAGCCGCGGGTTTGGCACCGTGTTCAGCATGTTGCCAATCGATGTGTACCCCTGCCCAAGTAGTGTTGTGCGGTGTAATGGTGATGTGATGGTATTGGTGATGCGATGGTTGTGTGGGGCGCAACACAAAGTGGGCATTCGTGAGAGGGGTGTCAAAGCACACACACACACACACACACACACACACACACCACACCACACCACACACCTTGTCGTAGAGGCTGCAGTAAGGTTTGTCGCGCAGGTATTCCCACACCTGCGCATACGTCCAGTCCAACACGGGATGCACACGCATGAACGTGGGCCAGCTGGCGGTGCATGTGCATAAACACGACACAGAAGAAGCGTGCACGTGAGAGGCTGTAGAACAAGAAGAGGGTAGCGCGCACAGACACACAGATAGACGCAGGCGCACACGCACACACGCAAACAGACACAGACACAAACACACACACACACACACACACACACACACACACACACACACACACACACACACACACACACACACACACACACACACACCCCGATGGCTCACCCCGGGTCGCTGGGAGCGAATGTCTCAAGAGTGTCTGCCTTTGGATCGCCGCGCCGCGTGCCCATGAAGATGGCCTTGATACTCGTCTGATGGCGATGATGAAGAAAGGAGCAAGTGTGCAGTGTGAGCAGTAATGCATGACACACGTGTCAGGGCATCATATGCTTGAAAGAGGATGTTCCACATGCGAGCCCACCAATAACACTCTCTACACATACACATACACATACACATACACACATACACACACATGCACATACACACATACACACATACACACATACACATACACACACACATGCACATACACATACACACACAGGCACGCACGCACCTGGGAGAGAAGGCCTTCCAGTGCTGTGCCATATGACGAGCCAAGGTGTTGCAGTGACAGCCCATACCTGCAGGTGCACGTGCAAACGCAGACATGTCATGTATTGAGAGGTGGCATGCCCCTGGAAACAATCCCCATCCCCCGTCAAGCAAACAATTACGAGGGCCTCGCATGCTGACATGCTGACATGCGCAGGATCATTATTCGTCTGCACAACAACACATGATGGGCACAGACCTGCGATCGCACATGTCGATAAAGTCCTCCACTTGTGGAAACTCATGTTCTTGCCTAAAGTACACCTGACAAGAGTAGCAGCGCATCAACATCATGTTAGGTTGGAGATGAAACACGAAGCGTGCACGAACATTCATCTATGGCACACACACAGAGAGTTATACATGCATTCACACACATGGGGTTGCAGCAATGACTTACAAAGGTAATGTTCCTGTAGTCGTCCGGAAACGCCTGCGATCGCAGAAGAAGAGAGGGGTGTTGAAATGCGCCCGGTGAGCGACTCTGAGAGCGATACAACGCGCTTCCTCAGCACTTTACACAACACCCCCACCACGTAAACACATGCGAACACACATGTACATCTACTGGATCTCACACACCAACACACACACACACACACGCACCTCCATGACCAAGTGAAGCAACAACGTCGAGTCCTTGCCACCGTTGAAGCTCAGGCACGTGCCACTGAACCTGGTTGTGACGCGCGTGTCAAGTCAGGAATGCACACACACACATACACACACACACACAAGCATGCCCATAAAATGTAAGGATCAGCAACTACAGCACACACACACACAACGACAATGACAATGACAAGCATGCAAGCATAGCGCACAATGACAAGCATACCCCCCCCCCACACACACAAACGCACCCAAACAGCTCGACGGTTGTGCGAATGGTCGAGATGGCAGCGCGCACATGCGCCCGGCTGTCTGTCATTGCTGCTGCTGCCGCCTTGGTATCTTGCTTGCTCGTCGTGCTGCTCGCAGCTGTCGTGGGTGTATCCCTTGTACTCGTGCTGTGCCTGTCCTCGTGTTGTGTCTCTTCCTCTTCCTCTGTCGGTTGTGGTGTTTATGATGTGCGACTGAATTCAGTGTTGACACTGAATTCAGTCGTGATAACGGCGCGCAAAGCGTGGATGGGTTGAAACAAGTGGATGGTGCATGGGTTGGAAGGACGGAAGTGGCACATGGTTGATGAAAGTGATGAACGCATTGGAACGGTCAAGGGAGGTCACAAGCAAACATACAGTGTACGTAAGAAGTACAACCGCACAGGTTGACTGGTTGAAACGCAAATGAATCACAACTCAACACACACACGCAAACAACATACACACGCAAAGTAAACGAATCGCGCACACACACACGCACACACACAGACGCACACACACACACACACACACACACGCAAACAGCACACACATACACACACCACGCTTAGGCAGTGCTCTCGTTGGCTGCCATCATACTCATGGCCTGCATCTCCGCTCGAAAGGCGGCGATGGTTTCATGAAGCTTGGCCATATCCACGTTGACGGTGTCCTGTAGAGCATCCACACGCTGCTTCACGCCACCGCGCCAGCCACTGCCACGTGGCTCCTGCTGCTGCGGCGTATCAGCTGGGATGAACACGACACCATTGCGCCAACGCCCGTCGCCTCCGCTCTCGCCGCCGCTGTTACCTCCCCTGGCAAGCTGGAGAATGTACCACACCAGCAGCTGGAGTGGGCCCGTGTGGCGCTGGCTGGCAATGATCGCACGCGTGCGCGCCAAGTGGGGCTCCACGCCGTCCTGAATGCGCTCATACGCGGTGAACACCACCGCAATGAGCATGCTCAGCAGCACGATCAGGGCGAGCGTGATGATGGCCAGGAGGATGGCGCGTGTGGCGGAGGGCACGTCACCAGCGTTGTCCAGCACACTCGCGCTCAGCTGGCCAAACATGAGGTGGATGGCGGTGTCAAAGAGGGTGAGGCCAGTGATCTTGAGCGCGCTGCTCGAACCTGACTTGCTGGCGGATGATGGTGTCGTGAACGGGTATCTGTTCCTGTTGTATGGGTTGTAGGGTGTGGTTGTTGTTGGTATGGTGACGCCCGTGGCCGCAGAGGAAGCGCTGGTGGTGTCGCCAAAGAGCACAAACATGCAGCTGGCTGCAGCCATCGCCGCCACGGCCAGCACGAGCAGGAACGACGCACACCGGCGAATCACGTGCGTGATGGCAATGACAGCGCGCGCGAGGCCATCAAAGGCAAACGTGAACTCGAGCAACCCGACCCAGTGGAAGAGGAGCGACAGGGCAAGCGTTGTCGGCACGCCCTGCAGGGAGGGCTGCTCAATGACGGCAATCAGGCCCAAGCACACCAGGCTGATGGTGCGGGCGAATGAGTTCCAATACCAGAAGCTGGTGAGCGACACGCGGTAATCGCGCACGATGCTCCCGGCCTGCCACAGCTCGCCAATGCCAAGGACGAGCACGGTGAACTTCTGCCAAGTGCGCTCGGGCCCCAGGAGAGACCCACTCAGTGCACAGTACACAAGCATGGCAGTGGCGCCCATCTGGAACAGGCAGCGCACGAGGAACAGGTCCAGCTGGCTGTGCCACATGGCCTTAACCGCCGCACGCACGGGAAGGATGGTGAAGAAGCGAGGGTCGCCGGTGCGAATGAGGGAGATGAGCAGCTCGGCAAACCACTCAGTGTCAAGCCGAAGCGCCTGCGTCGTCACCTTCACAACCCCGGGCTCGCTCTTGCTGTGTAGCTCTTTCTTCAGGTCTGCGTCGTCACCGTGGAGCATGTCCTCGTCCAGCACAACAAAGTCGCCGGGACGAATGCCTGCAAGCAACGGGGAGCGCCACTCGCCCACGTCAAGCGGGGGCAGTTCCAGCAGCTCTTTCATCAGGTCGAGGGCGGCAGCGTGGTCTGTGTTGACGACGGCATGCCACATGAGCAGATTCAGATGGTCCGAGTCCTGCAAACTGTCTTGCGCACTTGGCAGCGCCTGCACCTGCTGTTGCTGCTGTTGCTGTTCGGGTGGTGGTTGATGGACGCCGTCGCCTTGTGCTTGTGTCTGTGGTTGATCGCCTCCTTGCTGGTGTTGCTGCTTGGAGCGCAGGGCGTCACGTGCCGTCTCAAACACGGCTTCAGACCTGTCTGCCTCAAGCAAGGCAATGGCTCTCCGCGTGTGGTCCTTGTGCACATACTCGGGCGGGATCTTGCCTGAAAGCGCAAGCTGCAGCAGGATGAGCGGGTTGTGCGCCCCGGCCCACGCCGTGGTCAGGTCAAACAGCGTCAGGTGGCTCCCATCTTCGAGAATGCACAGCTCCCCCTCGCCCTTGTCCACAGCGACGCTGCACGTGTGGTCGTGCGTGTGTGCGTGAGGCAGGACGAACTGCGCCCTGAGCGTGAGGGACTTGGCGTCGACCAGCGCCATGCCGTCCTCGCCAGCCAGCACCACGTACTTGGCAGTGAGCGCACACTGCGAATACTTGCCCGAGACAAGGACTTGGCGTTTTGGCGCGTGGGTGGAGTACGCGTGCACAGCCGTGCACGGCCCGGAAGCAAACCCAAACCCAAAGTGCCGTAGGATGAAGCACAGACACAGCCCAATGGCGCCCACGCCACACACAGCAGCGCCAGCGTAGCCCGCAGAGTGAAATGACGTGTCTGTGGCCATCAACACGATGCCAATCACGCACGCAATCAGGCTCGACGCAAGGACAACAGTCCAAGCCGAATCCGTTTGCCGCGTGCGCTGCAGAGCGATGATGGTGTCAGGGTGGTGCACAGAGGTGGCGATGGCGTGAATGTGGGTGTTGTTTTTCGTGAGCGTGATGTGCTCACCAGTGGGCGTGTCCCACACGCGGCATTGTCCGCGTGTGCCAAGGGACACCACCTGCGAACCGCTGGGCATGGCTGCGACGTCAGCCACCGTGTCGGTGTGCCCTTGCAGCGTGGTTACGCACATGCGGTGCTCAATATCCCAGATGCAAACGGTGGCGTCTTCGGAGCCAGAGGCAACCATGTTGGTGTTGGGGATGGCGGTCAGGGAGGTGATGGCGGCCGTGTGGCCCTGTAGCATGGTGTAGCAACGGAACGTGTTAACGTCCCACACCCGCAGCGTGTTGTCCTGGCTACCAGACACGAGCCACGCGCCATTGTTGTCAGTTGTGGCCAGGCTCGTCACTCGGCCCGTGTGGCCAGACAGCGTGCAGACGAGCTGCAGCGAGTTGCGGTTCCACAGCGAGACAAGGCCGTTGTCATGCCCTGTGGCGACAAGTGTCTGCGAGACAAGGCAGACGGCCGTTGCAGAAGAT